CAATTTTGTAGTTGATTTAATTCGCCGAGTTCAGCGGCGACTCGTCGTTTTACGTTTTTCGACCTCGTTATTAAAAGGCCGTGTTTCCGAACCGAAAATTGCTCATTGTGTATTCCGGGATTCTGTTATTATTGTATGACTTTTTCAATTTCTTGCGTCGGCGGTTGCTAATAAATAGGATTTTTTTCGTTTACTGTAACACAAAAGCGTGATTAATTCTTGTTCCATTTATTTAACAAAAGCAGTATACAATTTAAAAGCAATGATGAAGTCCATTCTTTCGTGAAAAATATTGGTGTCTGGCCATAGTGAAATTCAATTTGTGTTCTCCGACAAAGAATAGCCCGTATTCTCCGGGCTTGAGACCTTCAACATATTTCTGACATTCTGCACGATCACGGCTTTCACAAAGGCGCCGTTGACCGTAATATATCAGGTTGAGAAACATGTGTTCGCAGAACGTCACTCTTATTAGATACTACCACTCGAAGGGCGGCGTTACACCGGGCTTTTACGACTAGTACTGCTCTATTCGACCTAAGAGCCGCTTTGACCCAGCTAGACACGGAAATGCACCGAAAGCGACACTAAACTTCGACTCGCAACAAACTATTCGCTTCTTTAAACGCCTCTAGAGACGATATCTTTATGAGTCTGCTGCACAAAAACCTGCAGCGACAATTTTAAAGACCAGACTAAATAACGTTACTCATAATAACTCTTTCCACTTTTATTAGAGAGTTCATGATGTCGCAGAGTGCAGACGCGTTTTCAAATCGCTCTATCATACCGTGTAAAAAATGCAAGATAATACCAGTTACGGGGCTCAAGTGCATAGTTTGCGGATCCCTTAACCATCCAAGTTGTGTAAAATTATTGAAAAATGTGAAATACATAAGTGACACGCAGATTAAGTGCTGTGATAGTGCTGAGAATGCTACAAAAAATGATAATGAGCCGCTTATCGCAATGCAGAAAGAAAGGCCTGTATGTCTAGAAGACATCGTAATAAATCGAGTATGTAGTGCAATGCAACCACTGGTGGAAGAAATCAAAGAGTTACGTGAAGAAGTACGAATCCTAAAAGATTCTAATCTTGAGCTAATTCGATTATTCACAAACGACAAGAAAAAAGTCAGCAACCGCAAGGAGGAAGCTGTAGCATTACCTAAGAAGAACTTCATGGATCCAGAGGATACGTACGGGAGCGTTGCCCATAAAAACGAACCCAAGCAACCGATATCGAGGTTTGATATAAAAAGTCAAGATAAGGTCGCCGTAAGAAATCCAAAAAACAAAAATAAACAAATACCAACTGACATTACACAGCAAACAAAGGAGCCGTGGTTTCTAACGGATGATGAAGAGAACCATACAGGTACTAGTCATGAGAATCCATGGATTGAACAAAAATCACGAAGACGAATTAGGAGCAAAAAACAACCAACTATAATCGGTATATTTAAAACCAAAGATGTAAACACAGGCTTTAAATCTTCGTACGTAAAAAGGGCGTGGTACTATGTGGGTAAGGTGGACAATGACACTAACATTAACGAAATAAAAACTTATATTTCTCAAAAACTTTCCTCAGAAGATGTGATAGTTGATAAATTACCAACGAAAGGAACATTTCAGTCGTTCAGAATAGGAGTTAAATTTATCTATAAAGATAATTTACTTAAGGAAGACTTTTGGCCAGAGGGAATTATAGTGAGACGCTTTAATTTTAGTGGTAAAACTTTTTTAGAAGACCCAACCAAGAGTGCTTAAGTGTGGATTCTCGTAGTGACTCAATATCTCACGATAACTCCCGTGATGTTTCTTTAAATTATATGAACTTAAGTTGTTTCTACCAAAATGTTCGTGGTTTAAACACGAAAATAACTGATTTTTATAATTTTACCACTTCTACTGACTATGACCTCATCGGACTGACAGAAACATGGTTAAAACCTTCTGTTAATAGTTCTGAACTATTTAATCACAATTATCTTGTACTTAGATGCGACCGCAATGTACAGGCGTTAGGTGTTTCAAAGGGTGGTGGCGCTCTGTTGGCAGTTACGAACCGTGTTTGTGCTGCACCACTTGATCTTATAGGTTTAAGAAATTCTTTTAGCTCTATTGATATAGTTGGTTGTCAATTATCGCTTTCTAGCGGTGTTTTGTATGTTTTTGTAATTTATGTACCCCCCAATATTTCATCATATGAGCTGGATCAATTTCTGGAGGATCTTGCGGTATTAGATTGTATGTGTAATAAGAATATTTTAGTCATGGGTGACTTTAACGTTGCCAAATATGGTAGTAATGATTCCAACATCACTAAATGCTTATCGCTAGACAACTATGCAAATTTTTTAAATCTAACGCAACACAACAACATACTCAATTGTTTGAATGTCTCTTTGGACCTAGTATTCTCCAATATAGATTGTTTTTCAGTACTACGCGCTGATCCTGCTGTAAAGGAAGATCCCTATCATCCTGCTCTTCAGTTTCTTTTTAAAGTATTCCATTCTCAGACTAAATTTGCAATTAATAACAGCCATCCTTCATATAAGTTTAAAAAGGCTGATTATGCACGCATGTACAACCTATTCCTATACGCTGACTGGAGCCCTATTTTGGAATCTACTGATCCTACTGAGGCATGTGAACTTTTCTACAAAACTGTTTATGAAATATTCGATATTACTGTACCATTGCGTTATGTTAGTAAAGCTCAAAGTAAAAATCGTTATCCTTCTTGGTACTCACCACAGATAATAAGGGTTTTAAAACGTAAAACCAAAGCCCATAGATTATATAAAAGGTATGGTACGTTGTTCTTTTTTAATAAATTTAAACGGTTGAGATCATTGTCTAAATATCTAATCGATACAGCTTACAAGAAATTCATAATTGACGCGGAGAATAACGTCTCAACTGATCCAACGAAATTATGGTCATTTGTTCAAAATAAAAAAAATCAAACTAGAATCCCAAATGTTATCAGGGACGCCGACGATGTATGTTATGACACTCCAGACAGTATAGTAAATGCCTATAGTAATCCGTCGTCTTCGCCGAACTATTTCCAGAACATTGATACCCCGTCGATAAGTGAAAACGATATTCTTATAGCAATCAAGAATACTAAAAGTAAATTTACTGCAGGACCTGACCTTATTCCGAACTTTGTTATTAAAGATTGTGCGTGTGTACTAGCAGTACCGTTACTGCATATATATATAATCAAATACTTAAATGTGCTACCTTCCCTTCTATTTGGAAACAGGCCAGAATTTGCCCAATTCTTAAAAAGGGCAATCCTGCACAGATTAGCAATTACAGGCCAATCGCCATTATTAATAACTTTGCAAAAATCTTTGAAATGATTCTATATAAACACATTTACAATAGCATTAAATCCTTTATCTCACCCTTACAGCATGGGTTTGTTGAAAAAAGAAGTAGTCACCAACTTAGCAACCTTCACGCAGTTCACTGCCAACTGTGTAGATGCAGGGGGTCAAGTTGACGTGATTTACACAGATTTTTGTAAGGCCTTTGATCAAATAGATATATTCATCTTACTTGACAAGATGAATTTACTTGGATTTAATGATCATATATTACATCTTCTATCATCTTACTTATTTGATCGGGTTCTATATGTAGAATATATGGGGCATCAGTCATATCCATTCATCGCTACATCGGGTGTCCCTCAGGGCTCAAATTTAGGACCATTATTGTTCCTTATATTTATTAACGATCTGCCAGAAATTATTAGATGTAATAAGTTGATGTTTGCCGATGATTTAAAAATTTTTAACTCTGTAGCGTCTATAAGTGATTGTCATCAATTACAACAAGATCTGGATAACCTATATCTTTGGTGTGTCAACAATAAACTGCATCTCAATGTAGCTAAATGTTATGTTATGACGTTTACAAAAAAGAAAATACACATCCTTCAATATGACTATCACATTAATAATTACACACTGAATAGACTTAAGGAATCTCGTGATCTTGGTGTAATATTTGATTGTGAATTAAATTTCACTACGCATATAAATGAAATGGTTAAATCAGCCAATAAGACCTTAGGTTTCATCTATAGAAATTGTAAGGATTTCAAAAGTTTGCATGTTTTGAAAGTTTTGTACTATTCTCTAGTTAGACCTAAGCTTGAATATGGTAGTCTAGTTTGGCATCCCATTTATGTAGTCCATAAACACCACATTGAGTCAATTCAAAGGAGATTTTTGAAATATCTCATGTTTAAAATTCATGGTTCCTACCCGCCTAGAGGAATCGACCATGGTGAGCTTCTGCAGATATTTAACTGTGAATCACTCGAATTCCGTCGCATAGCTGCAGCTGTTAAATTTTTGTATAACTTAGTTCGTGTTAAAATAGATTGCACTGACCTATTAGGCTCCATAAATTTTTTAGTTCCAAGAGCTGGAGTCCGTCTATACTTAAGTTTTTATAATCTTAATGCAAGAACAAATGTACTTCGCAAAAGTCCAGTCTATTTAATGCATTGTTATTTCAATATAATTTGTCGTAACTGTGATTTATTCAGCGATTCTTTGCACTTTATTGTTAAGATTTTGTCTGGAAAATTGCATCCCTATGTTTTGTAACTTATGTAATTTAATTGTAATCTCCTGTTCATATATGTATTTTGTATTTATTCTCTTTTGCCTACTTGTGGCTTATGCTGTTTGGCAAATACATACCTATTTATTACGAGTAGAAGGAACAGGCTTGTATTCAACACGGATTCATACATCATTGATTCTATATATTTATTAGTTTCAACATCAGAAGTGGGATAAACCACGGGCGCAACACTGGCGTCTGATTAGCCTGGTGCACCTTGTACGTTCGTTGGCGTAGCCACGGGAATACCCGCCCGTTCCTCCAGAGAACAAGCTCCCAGGATCGCGGTTATTAGACAACGCAACTTAATCATTCTGTTCCAGTGGACCGTCGCTTACCTGTAAATAGGCTTCGTGTGCGTGTCCCTGTACCACAGCACCATGTACACCCTGTCCTCCCTGAGTCCCGGGTCGATGTCGCACGGTAACGTGGCACTCCTGCTCAAAACTGCGTCCACCGACGAGGTGATCCCTGGAATAAAAACAGACGTATCTTTAATGCGAAATCTGCGCTCGTGACAATTCGATTAAGTACAAACGAAGCTATTTTCCTGCTGACTGATCACCTGACATAATCGCCGCCCGTCGGAATATAACGAATCTGCTGCGTTCTCATTAGTTGCAAAATGGGGGCGGCGATAATCGAGTTAGCGCGCTACAAAAACGAGGGGGCTGCGGTGGATAACGAAGTGCGCGCGACCGGACGACAATAAGAGTCATCAACATATCGTCGGGGTTGTTTGTGGGAAAGATGACCGAATTTAAGGCTGACAGGTTCATTTAAATCAGGGCCGGGTTTTTGCGGGACCAACGGGGCGTCGGGGTGGTAGTGGGGGGGGGTCTCTGCACTGATTTGATGACGGCACATATTCCTGTACTTGTGGTTTATGAATCCGCCTTGATTCTTTCAATGATTTGTCTTAAGGACGCCCTTTTTGTATCAGCGCTAATATATTGCAGACTTTTCTTTTGCGGCGTCCCAGCGAATTAATCGAGTTTCTGTAGTGTTTGGGCATAAATTTCGCAAACACGGCGTTCTTAATTAAAATCTTTGTTCGGCCGTGTCGCTTTTTTTAATTCGTTGGGGTTGCAGCTTAAGAGATTTGCGTGGGAACCATACGTAACTATCATTCGTCCGAATCAGAGGCGCAAATTTAATTTCCGAGGAGTATATATCAACAGCTATCCGCCGAGAGCTATTTTTGGTGTATTCCTTACTATAAATTTAATTATCGTAACCGAGTTAGTTAATTACGGCGTTTGCCTGCGGCAGAGGAAGACGGAAACATCCAGATTGATTCCTCCCGCTCCCCCGATATCAATTAACCAAACATAACGAAGCTCTCTCCACCTCTAATTGATTTATAATAAGCGATTTTATTGCTTCTCTATCACACGCGACAATTCGAGCGATCGTTCCAGATTAATTATTGTCTCGGTTTAAGCGACTTAATTGATCCAATTTATACCAGGATGTGCATAAATCGAGCGACGCCTCGCAGAAGCCTTTTTTCATCGCGCCGTACTCGCATCATTTCAATCTCCTCTCGTGAATATTTTATCTGCAAAGATTTCATTGTTCTAAGTTGTTTGTATTTCTGTAGTTGAATGAACATCACTCGGCTCGCTGCTGCACTTCCTTTAAGAAACACAGCACAGCACGAAAATTACATTTCTTGTTCGTTTTTTCGTGTATTCAACGTTTCCTCTTCGACTCACAAACTATAGCACGTCATAAAAATTTCATGGACTGCATATCGAATACCCGTTGTCGTGCGACGAGCACCGGGACCAAACAAATAAAATAATAAGCTCGGGTGGTGAGACGCAGACAGAGGAGGAAAAATTGGGACAAACAGAACAGACGCTTGCGTCAAGTGAGGTCTGCACAAAAAACACTGTTATGGGGTTTACTGTTGACAATAACACAAGTAACCGGTCATTGCAGGAGGACCATCCCTTAAAAAAACATTTTTGGACGCTGAGGAAATGGGACAAAGCAAATACAAGCCTTGTAGAACTAGTTCAAAGAAGTGTAAAGTAGAAATTACTTTTCTCGTTGTTCTAGTTACAGAGAAAAGTATGAGAATTTGTGTCAAACTAAAGTGGTGCGAGAGAAAATTACAAAATCCCGTATTAAATTTTTTTACGAAACTATAAAAAAAGCATGTACCGCATGAATGGACACTACGCAAAATTTATAAAGTTACGGTATAATAAAGTTATAAATCACATCAAAGATCAAAGGTCTAACAGTTATAAATGGCTTTCGGCGGACCAAACTTCCGATATTTTGTTGCGGCATGTCGCTAATGTTTGTGGGCGAATTTTGCACCCTAGGCTAGCTTATACGTATCTCTTATCACTATCATGAATGAAACAGTTAGTTTTACGATCTGCATCTGTCACTGCACGAAGGCGGATTCATGAACCACAAGTAGAGGAAATAGTAGGTTAATTCAAAAAATTTAAATATCATTTACTATCAAAAATTTTGTTGACCTCATGAAATTGTTACGGAGGATGATTTTACAATAATCGATCCCGTAATTTCGGGGATCTTTAATAAAAATTGACATAAAAAGCAGACAGAGAACAGACAAACGGAAACAGGGGTCATGGAACGTCGACAAAACATGAAAGTAGCTATTCGCCGGATGGGCCCTGGTTGCAATACTTAGCTAGAGCTCAGCAAATTAAAAAATAAATTAAAAAAATGAAAATATTGCTCTGGAACTATAAACAATTTATTTTTACAATCAGTAGGTATTCCACGATCTATTTCCCTGATTTTTTAGTGGAATTTTGGAAAATTGTTAAAATGATAAAATGAAATATGGCAAAGTTTAGATTAAAAAAAAAAAATACTTTCAAACTCAATATTTCGAAAATCTTGCTCCGGAGTTTTAAGCACGCTATATTTTTCGAATCAGCACATCAAGATCTGTATCCCTTAATTTCTTCGTGGATTTTAAGTAACTTTTCCGAAAGCCCCCATTTTTCAATTTTTATTGTAATTACGAAATTTTCGAGCATTCCTGGATCACCTTAGAAAATTACCGAAAGGATTTTTTTCTTAGATTTCGACTTCTAGAAGTTATTTTCGGCTTTATTTCTTTGAAAATTCTTATGCAATATGGCAATATTTAGAAATAAAAAAAAAATTATTATCATACTGAATTATTCAAAAAATATTGCATTGGGACTATAACCAATATATTTTTACAATTAGTATTCCAATATTATACCCGATTTTTTAATGAAATTTTGGATAGCTTTTCCGAAAAAAAAATTTTTCAATATGAAATTTTCGTCTATTTTTCGATCACTTTTGAAAATACCTGATGGATTTTTTTTTGTAGATTTCGACCTCTAAAAATTATTTTCGGCCTCATTTCTTTGACAATTTTTACCATTTTTCCTAAATTGTCAGTATAAAATATGCGTATATTTAGTACATATTTAAAAAAAACTTGATTTTCAAACTAAATATTTCGAAAATATTGCTCTCTAGCTATAAATACGTTATATTTTTATAATTAACACTTTAAAAATTATGTCTTTGATTTTTTTGGTGGATTTTTAAATAATTTTTCCCAAAGCTCAATTTTTCATTTTTTGATTACCTTAGAAAATTACCGAAAGGATTTTTTTCTTAGATTTCGACTTCTAGAAGTTTATTTCTTCGAAAATTCTTACTATTTTTCTGAAATCGTCAATATAAAATATGGCAATGTTTAGGATTAAAAAACATAATTATCAGACTGAATATTTCGAAAATATTGCTCTGAGACTATAAACAATATGTTTTTACAATCAGTACTTCAATATATACCCGATTTTTTAATGAAATTTTGGGTACCTTTTCCGAAAGCAAAATTTTTCAATATAAAATTTTCGACTATTTTCCGATCACCGTCGAAAATATCTGAAGGATTTTTTTGTAGATTGCGACATCTGAAAGTTATTTTCGGCTTCATTTTTTCGAAAATTTTTACCATTTTTCTTAAATTGTCAGTATAAAATATGCCAATTTTTAGTACATATTTCAAAAAACTTGATTTTCAAACTAAATATTTCGAAAATATTGCTCTGTAACTATAAATACGCTATATTTTCAGAATCGACACTTTCAAGAACTATATCCCTGATTTTTTCGTGGATTTTTAGGTAATTTTTCCCAAAGCTCAATTTTTCATTCTTCGATCACCTTAGAAAATTACCGAAAGCATTGTTTTTTTAGATTTCGACTTCTAGAAGTTATTTTCGGCTTTATTTCTTCGAAAATTCTTACTATTTTTCCAAAATCGTTAATATAAAACTTGGCAATATTTAGAATTAAAAAAAAAAAGATTATCAGACTGAATATTTCGAAAACATTGCTCTGGGACTATAAACATTATATCTTTACAATCAGTACTCCAATATATACCCGATTTTTTACTAAAATTTTGGTTACTTTTCCGAAAATAAAATTTTTCAATATGAAATGTTCGTCTATTTTTCGATGACCTTCGAAAATATCTGAAGGATTTTTTTGTAGATTTCGACATCTAAAAGTTATTTTTGGCTTAACTTCTTCGAAAATTTTTGCCATTTTTCCTAAATTGTCAGTATAAAATATGGCAACTTTTACTACATATTTAAAAAAGTTTGATTTTCAAACTTAATATTTCGAAAACATTGTTCTGTAACTATAAATACGCTATATTTTCAGAATCAACACTTTCAAGAACTATATCCCTGATTTTTTCGTGGATTTTTAGGTAATTTTTCCCAAAGCTCAATTTTTCATTCTTCGATCACCTTAGAAATTTACCGAAAGCATTGTTTTTTTAGATTTCGACTTCTAGAAGTTATTTTCGGCTTTATTTCTTCGAAAATTCTTACCATTTTTCCGAAATCGTCAATATAAAATATGGCAATATTTAGGATAAAAAAAAAAGATTATTATCAGACTGAATATTTGGAAAATATTGCTCTGGGACTATAAATAATATATTTTTACAATCAGGACTCCACGATCTATATACCTGATTTTTTAGTGACATTTTGGGTAAATTTTCCGAAAGCAAAATTTTTCAATATGAAATTTTCGTGTATTTTTCGATCAACTTCGAAAATACCCGAAAATTTTTTTTGTAGATTTGGACATCTAAAACTTATTTTCGGCTTCATTTCTTCGAAAATTTGTACGATTTTTCCTAAATTGTCAGTATAAAATATGGCAATTTTTAATACATATTTTTAAAAAATTTGATTTTCAAATTAAATATTTCGAAAATATTGCTCTGTAACTATAAATCCGCTATATTTTCACAATCAACACTGTAAGAACTATATCCCTGATTTTTTCGTGGATTTTTAGGTAACTTTTCCCAAAGCTCAATTTTTCAATTCTCCCTTGTGAAATTTTCCAGCATTTTTCGACCACCTTTGAAAATTACCTCAAGAGATTTTTTTGTGGATGTC